TCAACGACTGTCCCCGCCTGTGGTCCCTGAGGTCCTGGGGCAGGGATGCAGGAGGCAGCCAGTGTCACAAGATGTCCCCGTCCCCAGCCAGGCCGGGCGTCTGGCTAAGCAAGGAGAAAGATGGTGTCCCTCCTCAGGGCTTGGTCCTTGCGCCTGGTCTCACTTCCTCCCCGGCACCACCTGGAAGGGGAGGAAGTGACACCCAGGGGAAGGCCAGGAAGTGAGGCCACTGTCACATTCAAGTTCTGGGTGCGACAGCTCAGTCTGCCTCCCAACAGGCCCCATACTCGGCTCCCCTTCATCGGACACATCCCTTCTGAGAGTCACGCCCTGCCCTTTATAGGCACAAGGACCCAGARGTTCCAGGGACATGTCCGTGTTTAGGCCCCCGGATCTGGAAGTTCCTCAGGTGCACGTCCATGTTTAAGCCCCAGGATCCGGAAGTTCGATGGGTGCACGTCCATGTTTAGGCCCTCGGATCTGGAAGTTCCTCAGGCGCACATCCATGTTTAGGCTCTAGGATCCGGAAGTTCCTCAGTCCTCCATGTTTAGGCCATAGCTTGTGGAAGTTCCTCAGGCACACGTTCATGTTTAAGCCCAGAATCCGTCCATGTTGTTTTAACCTGATCTCTTGGAGCCTAGTGCAGGAGCTTACTACAAAACAATGAGCTCCCGTAATTTTTGTTCAACTCTTGTTTCTGGAAGTCTTGTGAAGTTTCAATCTGGTTTCCTGCTGAATATTGTTAATGAATATTCAGGAAATTAAGCAAAGAAATGACATCTGGTTTAGGAAGGAAGAGTAAGGGGTGATTATCAGCATTCTGTGTCTAGAAACAGCATCCCTTCTGCCAAAAAGAACAGGCGCCTCTTATCTGTAGCTCAGCTGAATTGTTCAAAGCCTCTGGATATCCTGGAGTTTGTAACAAGCATGAGTCATGGATGGAAGAGCTCAGATGTTCTTCCTCCCCTTTCTCTTCTAATTAGGCAGATCATGGTATCAGGAAGATGAATAGAACTATACATGTAAATATGACAGTGACCTGAAAAAACATTATGATGTGAGTAGAAGAGCATTTGTATTTTTCATGAAAGTAAGAAGTGAACTTAGGTAACCAGGCATGATGATGCAAGCCCCTCAGAAGGCAGGAGGGTCACAAGTTCAAGGACATCCTCTGTAACCTAACAAGACTCTGGCTCAAAAGAAAAAGAAAAGAAAAACGACTGGAGATGGAGCTAAGTGGTAGAGCACTTGCTTGCCATGTGGGAGGCTCTAGGTTTAATCCCCAGTACTGGGGGTGAATGAATGAACGTAAGTTAAGAAAAGCAGTTCCTTCCTTCCTTCCTTCCTTCATTTTCAGTGCTGGAGATTGAATCTAGGGCCTCACACATGATAGGCAAGTGCTCTATCACTGAGCACTAAGCTACATCCCTATTCCCCTAAAATTTGTGATTTCTATTGCCACTTAAACTAACACAAGAATTCCAATCCTTGTTCCCTCTTACCTTAACTTAGACTGCTGATGTATATTGAATTGAATTTTAAAATTCCATACCCCTCCCTGCGTTGCCAGTAGATGCTTTGAAATGGCTCAAAAATGATCATGCGGTGAAGCAGGAAGAAGAAACCGGGTTCTAAATAAGTTAGAAAATGTTTAGATTTCCACTGCAGTATTTTTAAGAGTGAGACCTCTTTTTAGTTGCTGTACTTAGCAAGAGGCAACCAAATAAAAGAGTATGTGAGGGCTCTTCCTCTTGGAGGAATACTGGGTTTCTGATGTAGAACTAGATTATTTCTATAGGTTTTACATAGCTTGGTTTGTCTATACAGTGCTGAGATATCTTCTGTTTTACATTATTACTGTTTTTTTCTTTTTCTTTTTTTAATTTCTGCTTGTATGATAGTATAGAATTTCCCCCTCCTCTCCCTGGGATCTCTAGCTTCCACACTCACAGCCTGCTACTCCCTGTCCACATTAACAACTTGAACTCTCTGTCCACATTACCAACTTGGGGACCTTCTAGAGACTTTCTGGAGACTCATATAATCAACATCCAAGAATTGTCCTTCTTTCCTCCTTTTCCTCCTCCTTCCTCTCTCTCCTCTCCTTTTTTTTTTTTTTTTGTCAAACCAAATGAAAAACACGCACATATACAAACATATACCTCGTCCAGGCATCTCTTGCATTTCTCATTAGTGGAAAATTGGGGGAATCTTTTCCAGTAGCGAGTGGAACAGATTTTGCTCATTGTTCTAACAGTTGCCTAATATACCACAGTTTAGAAGTCATACATTTTATTGGTAAAGACCATACCTTTTGTTTAGGGTTTGTTTTGTCTTTGGTAATTTGACAGCTCTTTTACTTAATATTTGAACATTCTTACATTTAATTCCTGAAATGTTTTGTTGTTGTTGTTGTTTTAATATGGCCTAGGAAAGGGGGTTAGTTTGATTACAAAAATATGTACACTTTTAATTTTAGTTAATATTGCCAGAATTTTTCCAAAATGGTTATCTTAGAAATATTGGAGAAAACCCTTCTCCCATTCTGTCCAAGTAGCAAGTGTCTTTCCTGCTCTGATAATGAATGCAGTGCTGGGTGCATAGCCTAGGTACCTGTTAATATTCAATAGAACGTCTCCATTGTCCCTGCTGAGAAAGACTCTAGTTAATTGATTGATTAATTAATTAATTTTTAGTACCAGAGATTAAATCCAAGAGCGTTTAACCACTGAACCGTATCCCCAGCCCTTTTAAAATTTTTTTTGAGGCAGGATCTCAACAAGTTGCTTAGGGCCTCCCTAAGCTCCTGGGATCATAGGCACGCACCACTGTGTCCAGCCTCTGGGTAGCCTTTATGATTGGGAGTGCTTGTGATTTTCTTTTGCATCTCTTAAAAAATTTACAGAAATTTTGTAGCAGGGAAGAAACTGGAGGCCATTCTAATGCAATGCATTCCCTTCATAGATAAGCAAATTAAGATCCAAAGAGGTGGAAGACATTCCAGTGAGCTGGTTCTGGCTGTTACTCCTGAAATGCAGTTGTTCTGAATTTCAAGACTTATAACATGATACTGCTCCTATTCTGAGTCACATTGATGATGAATTTTAGAGAATGGAGCAACAAACTTCATCTGTGAGCTGAAATGACTAATGGGAATGTACTATTTCCAGTTTTCTATTATCTCCTACTAGGATAAGCAAGTTTCTTGACCTACGGTGAGCCATGTGGGATTTGCTTTAGAAACTTCTGAAAAGATATTAGGACATTTGTTAACCTTTGTTAACCTGGTCCTGTCAGTGGAATTTGTTGCTCCTAATTTTTTAGGGACTTGGAATTTTGTTTCTCCATAATATTAGAGTTACTGCTCACCAAGGATGGTGCAGCTGGCTTGGATCATAACTAAAATAGCAACAGTGAGGCACAGGGGAGATTTTATTTGCAGGGATGGTTTCCCCTACACACTCTTCCCGAACCTGCTTGAATAGAGAGCTGGGAAACAGGGAAGCCTAGAAAAAAGACCTTGTATAGGACCTATTTCTGACCATGTGTTATGCACAATTTGGCAGTTGTAATGTGCACAATTTGACAAGGGCTCATATGGATAGATGTTCCCTAAGGTTGAAATGAAGGAAATTTTGAAAGAAGCCCGAGACTCACTGAGTCTTTAAATTCAGGTTCAATATCACAGTTCATGTTTAGCTAATGGATTCTGTTGAGGGACATGAAAAGGGAGACTCCAACACTTGGATTCCCATTTGGGTTTGTTCTGTGTTCACTGCAGAGCATTGGACAGCATAGCACTAATTTTCCAGAATGTCTCTAACTAAAATCAGCCTATTCAGGCAGCTCAGCCCTTTCTCTTAACAGCAGTAAACATAGTTGTGATGGAGATTCTTTTACTCTCAGATAAACATCTCAAGTAGGTTAAGTTTTCATACATCTAGAGGCATGCCTTTCTGTTTCAATCTGGGCAGGAAATGTGGTTATATGTGAACCTGGCCGTCAGTGGCCAAGGTTTTTCTGGTTTAGTAGTTCCCACCCTGCAACTGGAATGACTGGGGAATTTTAAAAATATTCTTATGCCTGAGACCAACGGCTGAATTAAATTAGCATCTGTGGGAGAGGAGACCAGATATGGAATATTATAAGCTTTCCCAGGTGATTCGGACACATTTGGCTTAAGAATTTCTGGGCAGACTATTTGGAATGGAGAAAGCATCCCTGCCTAATGCAGAAAGACATCAAATGTAACATAAGCTGTTCTTTGAATTCAGCCACCGGAGCTAGGGTTGTAGCTCAGTGGTAGAGTGCTCACCTTGCATGTGGAAGGCATTGGGTTCAGTCCTCAGCACCAGATAAAAATAATGGTATTGTGTCCATCTACAACTAAAAAAAAAATTTTAAAAAAAGAATTCTGTCACCCTACAGATGATCTCTGCCCATCATCTCTCATAGTGTGCTTTCTCTCCCCCTTCTTCTTGTATATTGTGGAGTTAGTCTTTACAGGATGCAAAACATGAATCATTAAAAAGTGCTCTATGAAGGCACCATGTGGGTTAGAAACCAATGTTCCCTCTCTTGATACACCCAGCAAAATCAGTTCCTCTTCTGAGATTGGAATACATCAATTTCTTTGGCTAAAATTCTAATAAAATAACATTTGAGAGCCCTGTGCAAAAAAAAAAAAAATCACTAAATATTGAAATAGCATTCAGTTTGGCAAGATACTCAAGCCCCAAGAAGCCCAGCTGAAACTGTCTTAGGGAACTGCAGAATCCTATTTCTCATCTCACTTGATTCTAAAGCCTGCTCACTTAGTGGAGTGTGGGAAGTCGTGAATACCTGTGCAATTGTGAATTCCTCTTGATGCCCCTTTTTAGGCACATATAGTCAAATTCAAGAAAATCAAATGTTAAATGCATTCTCTTATTAAATATTCAAAAACTGAAAATTTTCTCAAGTATAGGATTCAGCAGGACTCTTTCCCTTTGTCTTCTAGCATTCCCATGGTTTGGCATGGATATTGGTGGAACTCTGGTTAAGTTGGTCTACTTTGAACCAAAGGATATTACAGCCGAAGAGGAACAAGAGGAAGTGGAGAACCTGAAGAGCATCCGGAAGTATTTGACTTCTAATACTGCTTATGGGAAAACTGGGATCCGAGACGTCCACCTGGAACTGAAAAACCTGACCATGTGTGGGCGCAAAGGGAACCTGCACTTCATCCGCTTCCCCAGCTGTGCCATGCACATGTTCATTCAGATGGGCAGCGAGAAGAACTTCTCCAGCCTCCACACCACCCTCTGTGCCACAGGAGGCGGGGCCTTCAAGTTTGAAGAGGACTTCAGAATGGTAGGTGGTTCTTGTCCTTGTTAAAATAACTAAGCTTGTCCAGTCGTGACATTTTGTGCCTAAGAACTAGACTGCTAACCTTGGAACTCGGACAAATTTACTTCATAATCTGTGCCTTCACCTCACAGAGTTGTTACAAGAAGGATTAAATGAGATAATATGTACCTGAAAGTAAGTGCTTAATATATGTTAGTCATCATCTCTTCTGTTACAATTACTGTTGTATGGGAATGCTAAAGACAAGGTGATAGAAATTCCCCTCTGAAATACGTATGTCAGAATTTTCCACAGACTCTTACTACATAATCATAATACCAGTGTTATAGATGTATAAACTGAAGCTCACAGGAAGGCTTTCTATAAGTCCTAGTAAAATTATTAATTTTTCTATCTATTTGTTTTATAAATGTCTTTTTTTTAGTTGTAGATGGACACAATACTTTTATTTTATTTATTTATCTTTATATGATACTGAGGATTGAACCCAAGGCCTCATGCATGCTAGGAAGGCACTCTACCACAGAGCTACAACCCCAGCCCAACATAAGTGTCTTTTTGTTGTTGTTGTTGTTGTTGTTGTTGTTGTTGTTGTTATATGAATATTATTCAGGAGTTTTGCTCACAAATAAAAGTGAAATCTTTATATTTTTCTATAATTATGAGAATTATATTATTGTTTATATTATATAAGCATTATATAATATATAAAGTTGCTATATTAATATTGTTTATAGGTTAATTCCTTCATATAATGAATATTATTCAAGAATTATAGTTCTGTGTCATAGGAATGATGCTGTCATATCCCAACAGGCAGTACATTCCTCCTCTGCACCTGTCATTTAAATTTGACAGATGTGGCTAAAAGTAAGCTATAGACAAGAAACATGGAGTCCAGAGTTTTTATTTATTTAGTAATTCCTTAACATCCACATTTCCAATTTCCCCTTCTTATCAAGTCAATAGTCGCTATATTGTTTAGCCTCATCTCACAGAGTAAAGTGAGAACAAAGTTCAACAGTAGATGTGGAGATACATTGGAAAATAAAGGGAACTAGATAAACAAAATGGATTGAACAAAAAGAAAGGCTTAGTTAATCTTATCACATTGAAAAATCAGTGAGGGAAGTTGTAGAATACATTTTCTCAAAACCTGTAATGCAAACCACCATATTTTGTCATGGAACTAATATAATCTAGTCTTGCTATAAAGTCTGTCATTAGTGAATCCTGAAGACATTATTCATAGTATTTAATGAGGCTAAAAATGAAAATTTTATTTGTATCTTCAAAAGTAACACCTTTACTTCTTATCCAGCAGTAATGTTCAATACCACTGCTTACTTAAATGACCTATGAAATCTTTCCCTCTAAATGGGCTTAACGACTAAACAGTTTGAAAACTTAAAAGGTTAAGGTCCATTGACATGAGAACTAAATTTGAGTCCATAATGGAAAAAGCATTGAACCCAAATTCTAGTCCTGCTTCTGCATTTAATCAGCTGGGTAACTTGGGTGAGATGTGTCCTATCTGTGGGTCTCAGTTTCAACATCTGTAAAAAGACAGTAAAGTAAAGAGGGGAGGGAGGGTTTCTAGAATGTCAGAATTAAAAGGGACCTCTGGAGAGAAGGAAGTATAGCATTCTTGTTAAGTGACCTGGAGATGAGAGAGACTTATGTGGATGAGGAAACTAAAGCTTAATGGACATTTAAGAGGCTCTAGTAGAGTTGTGCCTTCTAGGTGACATCTGGGGCTTTGGCTCCATTCTGATTCAGAAGTGGGTGGAAGTGCTATGAGCTCCTAGGTCGCTCAAGGGCATGCCATCTTCCCTCTCCACAAGAAAGCCTCAAGTGAACCAAAGTGACCTGGTAGACTTATGCAACCTCTATCAATGCCTTCCCTCCCTCCTTGAGGGTAATGTATGTCCTGGGAGAAAGTTGCTCAATACATATTGGCTGTGAACAGATGTGTTTCTCAAGGTTCTGAGCTGCGAAAGGTCACATCCTCCTTCAGGGAAGCTTTTGGAGCCAAATGAATAGTCTGGAGCAGGGAGCAAATCTGGAGTATTTGCTAAATAGCATGACCAGGCTGGGAATACACCTAAAAGAAAATTCCATGGGCTGCCTTCTGTTTCCACACTCAGTCCTGGCCAAATGAAGACAGAATTGAAAGACAGATGTCTTCCCGCAGCCTGTTTGACAATGCACTAAGTGATGTGCCCAGATTCTCCCAAAGTTTATGAGGACAAATAGATTTTACCATTCTCTTTCCTAAGCATTCACTCATTCAACAAGTAACTTATCGTGCTTCATCTACATGCCAAGTACTATTGTGAGAAAAACAAAACCCCTGCCAGCCCCTCTCAAACTTATATTCTGGTGGAGTAAGGAGTCAATAATTAAACAAACGAATATAGAATGTATCAAATGGTAATAAGTGCTATGAAGGGAGAAATAAGGCAGAAGGATATGGAGTCCTGGGAAGGTCTCTATGTGAAGACATAACAGAAATATGAAGAAGTAATAGAGCAAGCCAGGCAGATATCTAGGGAACAGCATTTTGAGCAGATAGAGAAATGAGTGCTAAGGTACTTAGTTGTCACATTCACCTTCTTCTTTCCAGGATGGAAAACCGAAGATGCTTATTTTTAAATTTTTTATTTTCTTGCATTGCCAACAATGGAAGCCAGGCCTTCTTGAATGTTAGGCAAGTGCTCTACTTCTGAGCCACATCCCCAGTGTAAACATACTCGCTAAGTTGGACAGGATCAATATATACTTCTGTATAATATAATATAATATAATTGTTTAATATAAACAATTTGACAAATAATAAGGCAGTGCATACACATACCTGTAAAGTCCTGTTGTACAAAATCATTGTTTGGTGTATAATAAAATTTTGCAGATAGGAATTTTAAAAATTCACCTGAGTAATTAGAGCTAAATAAAAGATGTTTAGCAAGACTGGGGATGTAGTATGTTTATCTACAATGCACAGAGGCTGAGTTCAATCCGTAGTATCCTAGTTCAGCAGACTAATGGTTTAGCAATTGGCAGGTATGATTACTATATCCTTATTGTTGATAGTAAGTTTATTTAAATACTTAGGTAATGTAATTATTCTTCATATAATTTAAATGTATAAAAAAGAGTCCTGTGTTGGATATTTTAAACTGGACAAAGCTGCATTTGGTTCTTCCTTTTCTTTCCTTTATTACCTTCCCTTTTTTTAACATTTAAAAAGAGTTTCTTTCTTTTTTTAACATTTTAAAATCACTGTCAAAAGCTAACTTCTAACTGGCTAAAATTAGTTTTCAAAAGTAATGATTTACCAAAATTGAACACAATAGAAAAACTTAATCTAACTTCAAATGGTCTAAAACATTTGATAATCCAATGAGGAATCCCACTATTTTAAAAACCTGTCCTCCAGGTAGGGAATTCTGCATGGTTGTGCACCGAACATTGTATATTTCGGTTAATTTTGTGTTTATTCCCACTGTCTATCTCTATAGGTTTTGTTTTTTAAAAAACCGAGAAGACTATTTTATTTACCAGTTCTAACATTTTTATCTACCATCATACTTCCTAATCTCAACAAGACTATTCTCAAGAAAAAAAAGTGTGAGGAATACAGTGGGGCACCTCTGCAATCCTAGCTATTCAGGAGGCCCAGGGAGGAGGATTCTGTTCCTGGCCAGCCTCAGCAATTTAGCAAGACCCTGTCTCAAAGTAAAAAGGGCTGTGGATGTGGTCAGTGGTATAGTGATTGTCTTGCATTTATGAGGCTCTGGATTCAATCCACAGTAACACACACACACACACACACACATACCCAGCAAAGTATTTGTAGAAAAAAGTCATCCCTTCTGCCCACGTAGCTCTTTATTACAATAGATAATTGTGAGTTTTGTTCAGTCCATGGCTAACATTAATGAGAAGCTGGAAAAGACTTAAGCAAATTAAGATCTACCCTTTGAATAAATAAGATTAACAATTTTATTAGTTGATATAAATTTAATATAGAGGAAAGGATTTTCTGATTGCTCTCATCACGTTTTTCAATTTTTAAAACATTAAATTTTGTTGGAGGGGCAGACTGGGGATCGAACATCTCCAGCCCTTTTTATCTTTTATTTTGAGACAGGGTCTCAGTGAGTTACTGAGGCTGGCCTGAACTCGTGATCCTCCTGTCTCCTACCTCCTGCTTTCTGCCTCCGCTTCCCCAGTCACTGGGATTATAGGCAAGTGTCACGATGCCTGGCACATGTTTTTCAATTTTAAAAACGTTCTTATGCCAGAAACTATGAGGGAAAAGTTGGTAATGGTGCAGAAATCATCAGGAGAAAGTAGACTAATTGTGGATATGTGGAATCTTAAATAGACCATTCAAGCACATTTATACTTGGTTCCCATTACTAATCCAGGGACTGATTTGTGATATTGCAAGAGGTTATACCACAAGGTTTGGTAGACGTTCACCATTGCCTCCTGGCTTGACCACCCATAGATGCCCCTTTCATGCTTGAGATTGGGAAGAAAAGTCACCTTGAGGTTTTGTTATATTGCTCCCTTGCTGTTTGAAATTCATCTCTCTCTCTCTCTATCTCTCAGGTCTCTGTTGGGTCTTCTTTGTGAAAAGGAAAACCTAAGTGTAATTTTTAATTCAGAATCAACTATTTTCTTTATGTACAGATAGTTCTTGGTTTAGTAAGATAACCTTTTCTGCCACTTCCAGTGTGATTTATGGAGCCAATGTCAGCCAAAACACCTTGGGAAGTGTAATGTAGCATCCAGCTTTGTATTTTACTCATTTCTGAAGCACAATTTGGTCATTCAGTTCTCTACTACAGGTGAATGATAAAACATATTTGGATACATCCAAACTTTTCTCAGGAAGTAGTTATGAAACCTCTTTTAATCAGATTTATTTATTTGTGTATTTAACTATTTAGTTAGTTTTGACATATGGAGTTAAAGCACTAAGTAGTTCCTCT